ATTAGTATTATTGTCCAAAGATGAAATACTAATGGTGCATTTGGTATCTTGTGATGGGTTAAAAATCATTTTACAATTTCACTAAAACATATGTTCATTGTCCTTGTTCTTTCTACAGTTAATTTTTCGAGCATATCTGCCAATCTCAACTCCATCCCTGTCCTAAATGGTACTAACTTTAAGGAATGGAAAGAAAATATTCTAATAACTTTGGGCTGCATGGATCTTGACTTAGCATTAAGGGTAGAGCAACCCGCTTCTCTTACGGATGCTAGTACCCAAGATGAAAAAAGGTACTATGAGAAGTGGGATCGCTCGAATCGCTTAAGTCTTATGATCATAAAGCGTGGCATTCCAGAATCTTTTAGGGGTGCTGTATCCGATGAGGTTACTAATGCCAAGGATTTCCTTTCTGAAATTGAGAAACGTTTTGTTAAAAGCGATAAGGCGGAAATCAACATGTTGTTAAAAGACTTTACTTCCAAAAGGTATTCAGGAAAAGGAAATATAAGGGAGTATATTATGGAAATGTCTTATATTGTTTCTAGACTCAAGACACTTAAGATTGAGATATCGGAAGATGTTCTCGTACACATAGTCTTGAACTCTCTTCCTATTGCATTTGATTCTTTTAAGGTCAGTTACAACTGCCAAAAAGAGAAGTGGTCTCTTAATGAGCTCATTTCATATTGCGTGCAAGAGGAAGAGAGGATGAAACAAAATAAGATAGAAAGTGCTCACTTGGCTAGTACCTCTAAGGATAAGGGTAAAAAGAGGAAGAGAACTCCCATTAAGAATGAAGCTGCTCAAGGTCCACTACAGAAGAAACATAAGGAAGGTGAAACAACCTGTTTCTTCTGTAAGAAGTCTGGACACATGAAGAAGGATTGTACCAAGTATCATGCTTGGAAAGCGAAGAAAGGTACGGTCCTTGCTTTGGTTTGTACTGAAAACAATTTAGCTTCGGTGCCTAGAAATACTTGGTGGTTAGACTCCGGTTCAACATCTAACATCAGTATTTCTATGCAGGGTTGTCTGAGCCACCACAAGCCAAATGATGCTGAAAGATGCGTCTATGTGGGAGATGGCAAAGCGGTGCATGTGGAGGCTATTGGGCATTTTAGATTGTTATTGTCTACCGGTTTCTATTTGGATTTGAAAGACACTTTTATTGTTCCGTCATTTAGGCGGAATTTGGTTTCTGTTTCTTATTTGGACAAATTAGGTTATCATTGTTCCTTTGGAAACTTCCGGTTTAATTTGTCTTTGAATTCAAATATTGTGGGGACTGGTTCTTTTATGTCATATGACAATCTTTACATGCTTGAAACAATAACTTCATATAATAATGCTTTAAATGTTGACACCCGAGGCACTAAGCGAAAGGTTGATAATGCACAATCTGGTTTTTTATGGCACAAACGACTAGGTCACATCTCTAAAAATAGAGTTGAACGTCTTGTGTCTGATGGAACACTAGATTCCATTGATTTTTCTGATTTCAATACTTGTATTGAGTGCATTAAAGGGAAACAAACCAAAAATAAGAAAAAAGGTGCATATAGAGCTACGGATGTCTTAGAATTAATACACACAGATATTTGTGGGCCATTTCCTACTCCTTCATGGAATGGTCAACAATATTTTGTGTCATTCATAGATGATTACTCTAGATATGCATACTTATTTCTTATACATGAAAAATCTCAAGTCTTGGACGTGTTTAAGTCTTACAAAGCGGAAGTTGAGAATCAACTCAACAAACGCATAAAGAAAGTCAAATCCGACCGTGGTGGTGAATACTATGGGAGGTATGACGGCTCAGGTGAACAACGTCCAGGGCCTTTTGCCAAATTTCTAGAGGAATCTGGGATTGTCCCTCAATACACCATGCCGGGTTCACCTAGCATGAATGGTGTAGCTGAGAGACGTAATAGAACCCTTAAAGAAATGGTAAGAAGTATGATTTCTCATTCTATCTTACCGGAATCCCTCTGGGGTGAGGCATTAAAGACCGCAGCTTACATTCTTAATCGAGTGCCAACTAAAGCAACTACTAAAACACCTTATGAGCTTTGGACGGGTAAAAAGCCTAGTTTAAAGCATTTTCATATTTGGGGTTGTCCAGCTGAGGCAAAGCCGTATAGGCCACATGAAAAGAAACTGGAACCCAAAACAGTTAGTAGTTACTTTATTGGTTACTCGGAGCGATCTAGGGGATATAAATTTTATAATCCCGAGGATAAAAATATTTTTGAGACGGGAACTGCCATATTTTTCGAGGATGTTGAGTTTGGGGGGAAGAATAAAGTTAGGGATGTTGTCTTTGAGGAAGAATTGATTTCAATACCTGAACCAATTCATACGGATGTTTCTTTTGAAACTAATGAGGAACCTCAACAAGGCATTATTTCATCTTCTCCTTTCCAAACTGAACAAATTGTTCAAAATGAACAAACTCAACTTCCTCTAGAACAAGTGCAACAAGAAAACGTGCCATTGCGGCGATCCACTAGAGAAAGGAGATACGCAATTCCAGATGATTATGTTGTATATCTCCAAGAACATGCGTCAAGCATGAATACAGAGAACGATGTCCTTGTGTTTATTCAAGAACATGAGGAAGAAAGTGGAGTTATGGAAGATGATCCAATCAACTTCCGTCAAGCCATGAAAAGTTCAAATTCTCAAAAGTGGATTGTGGCAATGAATGAGGAGTATAAATCTATGCAAGACAATAAAGTTTGGGAACTCGTCCCATTACCCGAAGGTTGTAAACCCATTGGTTGTAAATGGATATTTAAAACCAAAAGGGATTCAAAGGGTAATGTGGAGAGATATAAAGCTCGTCTTGTAGCTAAAGGTTATACTCAAAAAGAAGGAATTGATTATAAAGAGACCTTTTCTCCGGTTTCATCAAAGGACTCTTTTAGAATCATTATGGCTTTAGTTGCACATTTTAATTTAGAGCTTCATCAGATGGATGTTAAGACGGCGTTTCTCAATGGTGACATTGATGAAACTATTTATATGGTGCAACCAGAAAATTTTGTGATTGGAGATCCAAAACAAATGGTTTGCAAATTAACAAAATCCATCTATGGGCTAAAACAGGCTTCTCGTCAATGGTATCACAAATTTCATCAAGTCATTTTATCCTTCGGTTTTAAGATGAATGATGTAGATGATTGTGTATATCATAAATTCAGTGGGAGTAAAATATTTTTCCTGGTCTTATATGTTGATGACATTCTTCTTGCCACTAATGACATAGGCATGTTGCATGAAACCAAGAGATTTCTATCAAAACATTTTGAAATGAAAGATCTTGGTGAAGCCTCCTTTGTATTAGGAATTGAAATCCTTCGTGAGAGATCACAAGGAATCTTAAGGTTATCACAAAGGAACTATGTCGATAAGGTGCTTAAAAGATTTGGCATGGAAGATTGTAGACCGTGTGATACCCCTATCTCTAAAGGAGACAAGTTTAGTCTCGATCAGTGCCCTAAAACAAATTTGGAAATTCAAGAAATGAAAAAAATTCCCTACGCATCTGTTGTAGGAAGTCTTATGTATGCCCAAGTTTGTACGCGTCCGGATATTGCGTATATTGTTGGAATGCTAGGCAGATATCTCAGTAATCCAGGAATGGCTCATTGGGTGGCGGCCAAAAGAGTTATGAGATACTTAAAAAGAACAAGGGACTATATGCTTACATATAGAAAATCAGATCATTTGGAGGTCGTTGGATACTCCGACTCTGATTTTGCCGGCTGCAAAGACACTAGTAGATCTACTTCAGGCTATGTTTATCTACTAGCGTGTGGTGCTGTATCTTGGAAAAGTGTTAAGCAAGATATGATAGCTACCTCAACTATGGAGGCAGAGTTGTTGGCCTGTTTTGAAGCTTCAAACCATGGAATATGGATGCACAATTTTATTGATGGGCTGAAAATAATAAATGATGTTTCAAAGCCTATCAAGATATTTTGTGACAACAATTCTACGGTGCTTTACTCTAACAACAACAAGAGCTCGAGCAGGACAAAACACATTGAAGTGAAATATCGAGCTGTTAAAGAAAGGGTTCATAATAAAAGGGTCGCTATTGAACATATAAGTACAAACTCCATGCTAGCGGATCCTTTAACCAAGGGTCTCAAACCAAAAGTTTTTCATGAGCATACTGCTCACTTGGGAGTCATTGATTTTAAGGAACCTCAAGTTTAGTGGGAGTTTATAAGTTATACTTGATGTTCTATTGCTTTATGTATTTGTTTTCTGATCAGAATAAAGTTTGACATTTGGTGTATTCTGAACAATTAAGATATTAAAGTTTAAAGTTTATTAAAGAAGGGTCAGTTGAAAATTTACATGTACATGCCACATTTCATGTAATTTTCATGCTACACATTTCATGATTGATCTATGTCATTATGTAATATTGATACTAGTGATCATTGGTGGTATAGTTATGTTTAACATAACAAATGCTGCAATGGTTCTATATTAGTATTACTGATGGACCAGATTGTTTAAGGATGTTATTTTATATGATGGTATTTTTGAGCTCATAAAGATAACACATTTTGTTAGGAATTACATATAAGGCCCAGTGGGAGATTGTTGGAAAACAATAAAAGGGGCCTAATATGTAATTAATTAAAATGTGTTTACCATCAAATAAATAATACAGTGGCTATTCATGAAATAATAAAAGTGTAGATACCAGGATAATATATTTCTTTTGGTGACGGGTCAAATTAAATATATTACACTAAAGTGATACAACGGTTATGACCCCCGATGCGTGTAAACTAAGAGATAACAGTATAAATATTGTAACGAAAAATGGCCTAATAAATTATTCTAAATAATATCATTATTATATTAATAATTAAGGAATTATTATTAGAATTGAAGGGGCCAACCGTTACAATATTGAACTAGCTAGTCCTATATATATCCCATCTATTATAGGATTAGGACATCTCTTATAAGCTACATAGCATTGGAAGGTTTAGCCTACTAGCTTTCTTGGATTCTTGGGTCTTCTTAAAGTGATAATGCAAATGAATTCTCAAGGTATGGTTCTAATTTTAGTTCATACATGTTTGATTTCATGGATTTATATGGATTTAGCTATTATATATTTATATATATATTGCATACGGAGTTTTGTTGATATATATATGAATATCCAACAATTGGTATCAGAGCCAACCATCATAGATCCATGAATTCTTCATTACTTAATCGGCATATGAGTTTTTTTTTTTTTTTGGTGAAGTCTGATTTTTTAACTCATGTGCCGCATGATGTTGTTATGTGAGTGTTGATTTGTGAATAATTTTCTGTTGTTGATTCATATGTCTGAGTATTGCCGATTGAGCCTTAAACTTTTATATAAAATACAGCACCTTAATTTCTCTTTGATCGAATGAATTGAAACTATGAAGCTGAAGCACCTTGTCTGGATTTTGTTTAATGATATCCGAATTGGAAGTTACTTCATGTATCTTTTTTCGATGCATGTTTGTGGATGAATCGGATGATTAAATGTTTCAGTTGTTGTGATCGATCGGATCGTATGAATTTTTATTTTCAAGCATTGATATAATACAACGTATGATTGTCGTTTCAATTCAAGTCTCAGGCATACATGAAAATATAGTGATAAATGCTAATTAATTTTTTTTTTATTCCACCAAGTGGAATCTGCCTACCTTTTGGCAGCCGTTTTGTTTTGCAATTATTATGCAAAGTTGTATTAAATTACTGAAACACAACAATTATGCAACGTTCCATTTTTTTTTAAAAGGTTGCGTTCATAATAATTAATGAAATCGTTTTGTGAATCAAGTTATTAATTCGATGGAACGTCGAATTGCCGTTGTTTAGTGTGCAATTTTAGAAGTTTATTGCTGCACTTAATTTTTTTTTAAAAGGTACGGTAATATAAATATTATATATATATATTGAAAGGGAAATTGTAAAATAAAAGGAGTTTAATATTTAAATGGGTATATGGAAACAATATGTCACCAAAGTGATCGTATTGTGTAAGTTGCTCATATAAAATATTAAACATAGTACATAGTACATACTTTGTATATAGTTCAAGTAAATATTAATCGGCCCAAAGGAAGATTAATATTTTATCAAGTCACATATATACATTTTGGTAATAATATAAATATATCAATTATAAGGTTGCACTTTAAAAGAAAAAAGTCAACCCAAAGGTGGATTTTTCTTTTATATGTATTATTGTTATATTTTATTGTTACAACAAGAGTACCACTAGCAATTAGTATTATTGTCCAAAGATGAAATACTAATGGTGCATTTGGTATCTTGTGATGGGTTAAAAATCATTTTACAATTTCACTAAAACATATGTTCATTGTCCTTGTTCTTTCTACAGTTAATTTTTCGAGCATATCTGCCAATCTCAACTCCATCCCTGTCCTAAATGGTACTAACTTTAAGGAATGGAAAGAAAATATTCTAATAACTTTGGGCTGCATGGATCTTGACTTAGCATTAAGGGTAGAGCAACCCGCTTCTCTTACGGATGCTAGTACCCAAGATGAAAAAAGGTACTATGAGAAGTGGGATCGCTCGAATCGCTTAAGTCTTATGATCATAAAGCGTGGCATTCCAGAATCTTTTAGGGGTGCTGTATCCGATGAGGTTACTAATGCCAAGGATTTCCTTTCTGAAATTGAGAAACGTTTTGTTAAAAGCGATAAGGCGGAAATCAACATGTTGTTAAAAGACTTTACTTCCAAAAGGTATTCAGGAAAAGGAAATATAAGGGAGTATATTATGGAAATGTCTTATATTGTTTCTAGACTCAAGACACTTAAGATTGAGATATCGGAAGATGTTCTCGTACACATAGTCTTGAACTCTCTTCCTATTGCATTTGATTCTTTTAAGGTCAGTTACAACTGCCAAAAAGAGAAGTGGTCTCTTAATGAGCTCATTTCATATTGCGTGCAAGAGGAAGAGAGGATGAAACAAAATAAGATAGAAAGTGCTCACTTGGCTAGTACCTCTAAGGATAAGGGTAAAAAGAGGAAGAGAACTCCCATTAAGAATGAAGCTGCTCAAGGTCCACTACAGAAGAAACATAAGGAAGGTGAAACAACCTGTTTCTTCTGTAAGAAGTCTGGACACATGAAGAAGGATTGTACCAAGTATCATGCTTGGAAAGCGAAGAAAGGTACGGTCCTTGCTTTGGTTTGTACTGAAAACAATTTAGCTTCGGTGCCTAGAAATACTTGGTGGTTAGACTCCGGTTCAACATCTAACATCAGTATTTCTATGCAGGGTTGTCTGAGCCACCACAAGCCAAATGATGCTGAAAGATGCGTCTATGTGGGAGATGGCAAAGCGGTGCATGTGGAGGCTATTGGGCATTTTAGATTGTTATTGTCTACCGGTTTCTATTTGGATTTGAAAGACACTTTTATTGTTCCGTCATTTAGGCGGAATTTGGTTTCTGTTTCTTATTTGGACAAATTAGGTTATCATTGTTCCTTTGGAAACTTCCGGTTTAATTTGTCTTTGAATTCAAATATTGTGGGGACTGGTTCTTTTATGTCATATGACAATCTTTACATGCTTGAAACAATAACTTCATATAATAATGCTTTAAATGTTGACACCCGAGGCACTAAGCGAAAGGTTGATAATGCACAATCTGGTTTTTTATGGCACAAACGACTAGGTCACATCTCTAAAAATAGAGTTGAACGTCTTGTGTCTGATGGAACACTAGATTCCATTGATTTTTCTGATTTCAATACTTGTATTGAGTGCATTAAAGGGAAACAAACCAAAAATAAGAAAAAAGGTGCATATAGAGCTACGGATGTCTTAGAATTAATACACACAGATATTTGTGGGCCATTTCCTACTCCTTCATGGAATGGTCAACAATATTTTGTGTCATTCATAGATGATTACTCTAGATATGCATACTTATTTCTTATACATGAAAAATCTCAAGTCTTGGACGTGTTTAAGTCTTACAAAGCGGAAGTTGAGAATCAACTCAACAAACGCATAAAGAAAGTCAAATCCGACCGTGGTGGTGAATACTATGGGAGGTATGACGGCTCAGGTGAACAACGTCCAGGGCCTTTTGCCAAATTTCTAGAGGAATCTGGGATTGTCCCTCAATACACCATGCCGGGTTCACCTAGCATGAATGGTGTAGCTGAGAGACGTAATAGAACCCTTAAAGAAATGGTAAGAAGTATGATTTCTCATTCTATCTTACCGGAATCCCTCTGGGGTGAGGCATTAAAGACCGCAGCTTACATTCTTAATCGAGTGCCAACTAAAGCAACTACTAAAACACCTTATGAGCTTTGGACGGGTAAAAAGCCTAGTTTAAAGCATTTTCATATTTGGGGTTGTCCAGCTGAGGCAAAGCCGTATAGGCCACATGAAAAGAAACTGGAACCCAAAACAGTTAGTAGTTACTTTATTGGTTACTCGGAGCGATCTAGGGGATATAAATTTTATAATCCCGAGGATAAAAATATTTTTGAGACGGGAACTGCCATATTTTTCGAGGATGTTGAGTTTGGGGGGAAGAATAAAGTTAGGGATGTTGTCTTTGAGGAAGAATTGATTTCAATACCTGAACCAATTCATACGGATGTTTCTTTTGAAACTAATGAGGAACCTCAACAAGGCATTATTTCATCTTCTCCTTTCCAAACTGAACAAATTGTTCAAAATGAACAAACTCAACTTCCTCTAGAACAAGTGCAACAAGAAAACGTGCCATTGCGGCGATCCACTAGAGAAAGGAGATACGCAATTCCAGATGATTATGTTGTATATCTCCAAGAACATGCGTCAAGCATGAATACAGAGAACGATGTCCTTGTGTTTATTCAAGAACATGAGGAAGAAAGTGGAGTTATGGAAGATGATCCAATCAACTTCCGTCAAGCCATGAAAAGTTCAAATTCTCAAAAGTGGATTGTGGCAATGAATGAGGAGTATAAATCTATGCAAGACAATAAAGTTTGGGAACTCGTCCCATTACCCGAAGGTTGTAAACCCATTGGTTGTAAATGGATATTTAAAACCAAAAGGGATTCAAAGGGTAATGTGGAGAGATATAAAGCTCGTCTTGTAGCTAAAGGTTATACTCAAAAAGAAGGAATTGATTATAAAGAGACCTTTTCTCCGGTTTCATCAAAGGACTCTTTTAGAATCATTATGGCTTTAGTTGCACATTTTAATTTAGAGCTTCATCAGATGGATGTTAAGACGGCGTTTCTCAATGGTGACATTGATGAAACTATTTATATGGTGCAACCAGAAAATTTTGTGATTGGAGATCCAAAACAAATGGTTTGCAAATTAACAAAATCCATCTATGGGCTAAAACAGGCTTCTCGTCAATGGTATCACAAATTTCATCAAGTCATTTTATCCTTCGGTTTTAAGATGAATGATGTAGATGATTGTGTATATCATAAATTCAGTGGGAGTAAAATATTTTTCCTGGTCTTATATGTTGATGACATTCTTCTTGCCACTAATGACATAGGCATGTTGCATGAAACCAAGAGATTTCTATCAAAACATTTTGAAATGAAAGATCTTGGTGAAGCCTCCTTTGTATTAGGAATTGAAATCCTTCGTGAGAGATCACAAGGAATCTTAAGGTTATCACAAAGGAACTATGTCGATAAGGTGCTTAAAAGATTTGGCATGGAAGATTGTAGACCGTGTGATACCCCTATCTCTAAAGGAGACAAGTTTAGTCTCGATCAGTGCCCTAAAACAAATTTGGAAATTCAAGAAATGAAAAAAATTCCCTACGCATCTGTTGTAGGAAGTCTTATGTATGCCCAAGTTTGTACGCGTCCGGATATTGCGTATATTGTTGGAATGCTAGGCAGATATCTCAGTAATCCAGGAATGGCTCATTGGGTGGCGGCCAAAAGAGTTATGAGATACTTAAAAAGAACAAGGGACTATATGCTTACATATAGAAAATCAGATCATTTGGAGGTCGTTGGATACTCCGACTCTGATTTTGCCGGCTGCAAAGACACTAGTAGATCTACTTCAGGCTATGTTTATCTACTAGCGTGTGGTGCTGTATCTTGGAAAAGTGTTAAGCAAGATATGATAGCTACCTCAACTATGGAGGCAGAGTTGTTGGCCTGTTTTGAAGCTTCAAACCATGGAATATGGATGCACAATTTTATTGATGGGCTGAAAATAATAAATGATGTTTCAAAGCCTATCAAGATATTTTGTGACAACAATTCTACGGTGCTTTACTCTAACAACAACAAGAGCTCGAGCAGGACAAAACACATTGAAGTGAAATATCGAGCTGTTAAAGAAAGGGTTCATAATAAAAGGGTCGCTATTGAACATATAAGTACAAACTCCATGCTAGCGGATCCTTTAACCAAGGGTCTCAAACCAAAAGTTTTTCATGAGCATACTGCTCACTTGGGAGTCATTGATTTTAAGGAACCTCAAGTTTAGTGGGAGTTTATAAGTTATACTTGATGTTCTATTGCTTTATGTATTTGTTTTCTGATCAGAATAAAGTTTGACATTTGGTGTATTCTGAACAATTAAGATATTAAAGTTTAAAGTTTATTAAAGAAGGGTCAGTTGAAAATTTACATGTACATGCCACATTTCATGTAATTTTCATGCTACACATTTCATGATTGATCTATGTCATTATGTAATATTGATACTAGTGATCATTGGTGGTATAGTTATGTTTAACATAACAAATGCTGCAATGGTTCTATATTAGTATTACTGATGGACCAGATTGTTTAAGGATGTTATTTTATATGATGGTATTTTTGAGCTCATAAAGATAACACATTTTGTTAGGAATTACATATAAGGCCCAGTGGGAGATTGTTGGAAAACAATAAAAGGGGCCTAATATGTAATTAATTAAAATGTGTTTACCATCAAATAAATAATACAGTGGCTATTCATGAAATAATAAAAGTGTAGATACCAGGATAATATATTTCTTTTGGTGACGGGTCAAATTAAATATATTACACTAAAGTGATACAACGGTTATGACCCCCGATGCGTGTAAACTAAGAGATAACAGTATAAATATTGTAACGAAAAATGGCCTAATAAATTATTCTAAATAATATCATTATTATATTAATAATTAAGGAATTATTATTAGAATTGAAGGGGCCAACCGTTACAATATTGAACTAGCTAGTCCTATATATATCCCATCTATTATAGGATTAGGACATCTCTCATAAGCTACATAGCATTGGAAGGTTTAGCCTACTAGCTTTCTTGGATTCTTGGGTCTTCTTAAAGTGATAATGCAAATGAATTCTCAAGGTATGGTTCTAATTTTAGTTCATACATGTTTGATTTCATGGATTTATATGGATTTAGCTATTATATATTTATATATATATTGCATACGGAGTTTTGTTGATATATATATGAATATCCAACAGTAATATCGTGTATGTGAATATTTATTTTTAAAAGTAATTTAATTTTATCATCAATCAACTTAATGTGTGGTAAACTGTTAATCATTTGAGAAGGTCCGAAGGAGGCTAAGGATGTTTGCTTTTGAACTGAAATTTGCTGGTCTGGTTTGGTAAATGTCTGGTAATTTGTGATTCTGTTTATTTTCTAACTACGAAAGTCTGGTCTGAGACTCAAAACAATCCAAAAGAAAAAATCCTAAAAATTATAATGTCAAATCATACATTCATACCCCTAAAATTTGATGGGCGCATTATTTTTTTTTTAACCCGGAAGGTAAACCACCAAAATCAGTGGGGTAAATGCCGGGGAACATTTACCAAGTTTGATGGACGCATTATATATATTGTATAGCTCAAAATTTAATCGTAAGCTGTGTAGATGCATACATTATTTTGTAGTTGAAACTGAAACTTTTTGGGATGATTATGTGGAGCATTTGGCGAAGGAGGAATGTTTTATATTGGGATGGTATTCGGGAGACCAACACACAAGTGATATCCCGTGGTGCTGAAATCTTACAAACATGGAATGCAGCTCAACAGCCGGGCCGAAACGTGAAGGATAGGAGCATGAATCTAGCGAGATGAAAAAGACCTCCGATTGACTTTGTAAAGTGTAATGTCGATGATGCCATTTTTTATAATGCAAAATGTGTGGGTTTTGGTTGTTGTATCTGAAACCATGTTGGGAGATTCTATCAGGCTAGAACGGCATGGATAAATGCGGAAATGAGTCCAAGAGAGGCTGAAGCTTGGGGCTTAAGGGAAGCTATTAAATGGGTAAAACAGAAGGATTACAGGAAAGTGGTTTTTGAGTCAGATTGTAAACAACTCATGATTTGTATGGGAAGCGCGTTGACCAGTCTGTGTATGCATCCTTAGTGCAAGATTGCAGGGATCTTTTAGTCTCCAACAACGACTTTTGTGTTGTTTTTACTAGGCGACAAGCTAATAGTAGTGCTCATGTTCTTGCCCGGGCATCTACTAATTTTGCTTCTTGCATGGATTTTACATGTACTCCTGATTGTATCTCAAACATTATTATTAATGAAATGAATTTAGTAATAGAGTAGTTTTAATATTATTATTATTGTGGGACTCTTTATGTAATTATAACTCTTCTGTCTATATATATATATATCTGCCAGGGCTACCATTCAGGTTAAGCCTGATATTATTCTTCACATGGTATCAAGAGCCAATTCCTTCTAAAATCCCTAATTTTTTTTTCTCGTCTACGACATGTCCTCTGCGTCAATTTCCTCCACGGCCGAAGGTTCCGCGCAGCCATCTTCTCCAGCTGCTGCGATGCAGACCTCAGCTCAGGCTTCATCGGTGATAACTTCTTCCTCTCCAGCGCCGACGACATCTTCCTCCTGGACATCCCCCATATTCAGTGCCGTGCAGCCGACGTCTTCCTCCTCTGGTCCGCTATTCAGCACCTCCGATATTGGGGGTTGGTTGCCGCCTGTCTTCTCCTGGACACCCACCCCATCACAGCCGTCTATTCCTGCGTTTTCCGGCGGTCGTGGAGGGTTTCCAGCCGAATCCAGTTCATTGTTTGCTGGACAGAGTCTTGTTAGACCTCCAGGCACGGCTCCACTCTTTTCCGGTGGTCTTGGAGGTTCTGCAACAGATTCCAGTTCGTTGTTTGCTGGCCCGACCTTCGCCAGAAATTCGGGCACGGCTCCACTGGTTTCGCCCGGTCCTATTGTTCCACGAGCGACAGCATCTCCCGGTCCAGGTTCTACTTTAAGTGATTTAGTTAAAACCATTGGTCTGTCTGCCCTTAATATTACCAACATTGTTACTACTAAGTTGAATGCTGTGGAAGATTATCTGTCTTGGCGCACTCAATTTGAGGCTTTTCTTGTGTCCAATGGTTTTTTGGGTATTGTTGATGGTTCGCTCATTGTTCCTCCCCCTTATATTTTTGATGCATATCAGCGTGAAACATTTAATCCGGATTATTGTAATTGGTTAAAAATTGATCAAACTGTCCGGTCTTGGTTGTTTGCTACTCTGTCTCGTGATGTGTTAATTGAGGTGCGTGAGTTAAAAAATGCTTCTGCTATTTGGGGTCGTTTGGAATCCCACTTTATGTCTGCTAGCCTTGCTCGGTCCATGGAACTGAAACGTCAGTTAACTCATTCTCGGAAGAGTCCTACACAGTCCATGGATCACTATCTTCGGGATATTAAGATTATTGCTGACGACTTAGCTATGATTAATGATCCGGTTGCTCCCCGTGAACTGTTCAAGATCATCTTACTTGGTTTGGGACGAGACTACGAGTCTCTTATTACCTCGGTTGGTCTGTTTCCGGAGTGCTTCACCTTTGAGAAGCTGCGCACCTGCTTGATTGAAAAGGAGCAAACTTTGTAGTATATGCGGTCTATGGAGGAACCTCTTCAGGCTCAGGCCTTCGCTGGACAGGTTCAGGCAGCGGGGCAGCCTCCTCAGGCAGCTGGGCAGCCGCACAGGGGACGAGGGCAGCGCGGCCGAGGTGGCCGCGGACAGCGTGGACGTGGTGGCCGCGGGCAGCGGGGCCGCGGATATGGTCCACCCCCTCCTGGTCACGGTTATGTACCGTCATATGGCTATGCCGCACCTCCGTCCGACTACTTTCCAGGGGGTGCACCTCATGCTGGCATTCTTGGAGCTCCAGGCTCGGCATGTATGTCTGTTCAGTCAAATTTTTATACTTATGCACTATCTGCCTCTTTGACTAACCGTGGTTATGCAGGCTCTTCCTCAGTTAACGGGAACTCTGTTCCTCCTCCTATAGTCTGTCAGATTTGCTATGCTCCAGGTCACCCTGCATCTACTTGTCCGTCTCGTTTTGTTCAGCCGCCTGCGCCTGCTCTTGCTGCCACGGCTCCTGAAGCTTCTGACATCGTGTGGTATCCTGACTCAGGTGCCTCAGCACACATGACTCCTCATCCAGGTATTTTGACAAATAAATCCTTTTCTCCCAACTCTCGTTCTATTATAGTAGCTAATGGTACATCTCTCCCTGTAATGCATACTGGTCAGGTTACTTTGAGTTCCTCACATCGTCCTCTTCACTTAAAATCTATTCTCCATGTTCCTAATATTAAATATAATCTTTTGTCTATACAAAAATTGTGTGCTGATAACAATTGTACTCTAAGTTTTGATAAAAATTGTTTTTCTGTAAAGGACATAACAACGGGGGCAGTTCTTCTTCGAGCATTCAGTGATAATGGTGTCTATCCCGTTCGCCAGCCTGCACCTCCACCTGTTGCCTTATCTGCTGTTTCCCTTTCCCTTTGGCATAATAGATTAGGACATTGTGGTACTCGTGTATTAGATCAGCTTAGACTGAATAATTTAATTTCTGGCACTTCTTCTACTATTGTTGAATGTATTCCTTGTCGTTTAGGAAAATCACAACGGTTGCCCTTTAATAAAGTTTTTCACAATAGTCCTTGTGCTTTACATATAATTCATTCTGATGTCTGACAATCTCCAGTTTTATCTCATCTTGGTTTTAAATATTATGTCTGTTTTGTGGACGATTTTTCTCGTTTTACTTGGTTGTATCCTATGCGGCGCAAGTCTGAGGTTACCACTCATTTTCATCATTTTAAGTTAATGACTGAAAATTTACTTGACCGCAAAATTAAGATCTTTCAGAGTGATGGAGGGGGTGAATTTGATAATTTTAATATGCGAATTTTTTTTACTAATCATGGCATTATTTTTCATAAATCATGTCCCGAAATTCCTCAGCAAAATGGTGTGGCTGAGCGCAAACATCGCCATTTACTTGAATTGGCACGTACTATGCTCATCACCGCTAATTTGCCAGCTACGTTTTGGGTAGATGCTATTCTTACTGCCACTTTTATTATTAACCGCCTACCCTCTCCTACTCTACATGGTTTGTCTCCTTTTGAAAAATTGTTTCACACTAAACCTGACTTGTCTGGCATGCGTGTCTTTGGTTGTGCTTGTTTTCCTAATTTTAATGCTTCTTCGGCAAATAAATTATTACCCCGGTCTGTTCAGTGTGTTTTCTTAGGATATGCGTCTGAATATAAAGGGTACCGTTATTTTGATCCTATTTCCGGTAAGGTTTATATCAGTCGGAATGTCCGATTTTTAGAAAATATTTTTCCTTATTCTATTTTAACCAGTGCCACAATGTCTTCATCTACTTTGTCCATTCAGCCTGCTCCTTTAATTTCCTGTCCTACCCGTGACTTGCCCCCAGCCACTGTCCAGACTTCTTCTCCCTAAATCCTGCGGCCACCTACAATTCCCAACTCTTCCCAATGCTTTGAACAGCCCCTGCAAACCCCATATCTCTTTGGTCAGCCCTCTCCAGTGGGTTCTGGCAGCACACCAAGTACTCCAGCAACCCCAGAAAACCCATCCGCAGGCAGCACTATCCCTTTGGACCCACACCACTCTTCTGCCTTGACCGACCCTATTCCCCACGAGACTGACAGCAATAGCCTCCCCCCCCCCCCCCGACCGACAGCAGCAGCCCCCCCTTGCCCAACAATAGCTCACCCCTTTTCACTAATGTTCACCCCATGCAAACCCGAGCGAAGTCTGGAATTTTTAAACTCAAAACAATTTTTACTTTAAATACTGTTGTCAGCACACCTGATCCACTTCTTTTTCTATTGCAAATAAACATCTTAAGTGGCGGGCAGCGATGGCTAAGGAATTTAATGCACTTATTGCTAATCATACATGGGATTTAGTACCATTTGATGCTAGAAAAAATGTTGTTGGGTCTAAATGGATTTATAAGACTAAATACTTGGCTGATGGGTCTGTGGATCGCTACAAAGCACGGTTGGTTGCTCAGGGGTTTAATCAGCAGGCAGGTATTGATTTCACTGAAACATTTAGTCCTGTTGTTAAACCTACTACTGTTCGTCTTGTTCTTACATTAGCTGTCTCATTTGGTTGGCCTATACGCCAACTTGATGTTAAAAATGCTTTTCTTCACGGTCACTTAACTGATTAAGTCTACATGCGTCAGCCACCTGGTTTTGTCCACCCTCAGTTTCCCAATCATTTGTGTCGGCTTCGCAAAGTCATTTATGGCCTTAAACAAGCACCTCGTGCTTGGTTTCATCGCTTTAGCTAGTAGTTTCCTTCTTTCTCATGGTTTTGTATGCAGCCAGTCTAATAATTCTTTGTTTATTTTTCGCCGTCACTCTGATGTTATATACCTGTTACTTTATGTTGATGACATTATTGTTACAGGTAATTCTTCTACATTAGTTACTCATTTTTTATCTCTTTTAGCTAAGTGTTTTGCGATGAAGGATCTAGGCGATTTGCATTTTTTCTTGGGGCTACGTGCGAGTCGTACATCCACGGGTTTGTTCCTTTCTCAGCATAAATATGTCTCTGATCTCCTTCATCGTTTTCACTTACATACTTTAAAACCTGTTCGTTCCCCTTTGCCTAGTCGAACTAAACTTTCTCTTACTGATGGAGAGCTTCTTGCTGATGCCACGGAGTACAGGAGTATGGTAGGTGCATTACAGTATTTGACTTTGACTAGACCAGATATTACCTTTGCTGTACACCTGGTGTCTCAATTTATGCATGCACCTCGTACTTCACATATGTTGGCTGTTAAGCGTATTTTCAGGTATCTTCAGGGAACATCCATGCATGGCCTCCTTCTACAAAAGTCTTAGGCGTCTTCCGTGATAACTGCTTACTCTGATGCTGATTGGGCTGGATGCCCGGATACAAGAAGGTCCACATCTGGTTATGCAATATTTCTAGGACCGAATCTCATCTCCTGGAAGTCCAGGAAGCAACCCACAGTTTCCAGATTCTCCACTGAAGCTGAATACCGCGCTGTGGCTTTTACTTTTCAAGACACACTTCACATTCGAGCTGTTTTATTTGAGTTGGGGTTTCCGGTTCGGGAGCCTACTACCTTATTTTGTGATAATGTCTCTGCTTCTTATCTTTCGGTTAATCCCGTTCAGCATGCTAGAAGTAAGCATATTAACATTGATTATCATTTTGTGCGGGAGCGGGTGGCCCATGGTGATCTTTGTGTCAAGTATGTTCCTACACAGGCTCAGTTGGCAGATATCTTCACTAAATGCTTGTCTCCACAACGTTTTACTCTTCTTCGTGACAATCTGCGCATTGTTTCCCCTGCACAGCTTGAGGGGGTGTAATAGAGTAGTTTTAATATTATTATTATTGTGGGACTCTTTATGTAATTATAACTCTTCTGTCTATATATATATCTGCCAGGGCTACCATTAAGGTTAAGCCTGATATTATTCTTTGTTGCTGTAAAAAAAAAAGCTGTGTAGTACTACGGAGTATAATTTTCTTTGTTGATATAATAATAATACTCCGTTTTTCTGGTATTATGATTGTCGTTATTCTATTAAGACCAATCTTTTTTTTATACAACGGAAGGAATCTATTAAGACCAATCTGGCACTAATATGTCTTGAATCCAGGGATGGGTTTAAGGGGGGAAGGGGGCGACCGCCCCCCTTGGACTTTCAAAAATTTCTATTATATATATAAAATATTCATAATTTTTTTTACTTTAATTGGATATATATGTGTTCGCCCCCCTTAACTTTTAGTTATCAAAAGTTTTTTTTTTTTTAACAAACAATTTTATTCATATTAATAAAAAAGTACAATGCCAGAAGACAAAATTAAATAAAAAAAAGTACAGAGAAGAAAAGAAGAAGTAAAAAACAAAAACTAAACCCAAGGAAAATCTCTGGACTGTGATCTAGTCCTCATGCTATGACGCCTTTTGTTCTGCTGAGATTTCCTGTAGAGTTTTAGTTGCGTGTTCAGATTGTCTGTTGGCAGACAATTTTCGGAAGTGACGAGCTTTGATTTTCGGCAAATCGATCTGTTGAATTTGGAGTTCCTGATTTCTTCCTGATTTGATAAAGGAGGACGACGATCGCTCTTAGTTATCAAAAGTTATATAGCATTTAAAATAATTTACCTAACTTAAACAAATATATAATAGAACAACTCATTGTTCAAGACTTAGGATACTTATTACTCCTATATAGAAATTCCTAGTTTTGCAATGTTTAATTATTAGACTCTAGTTAAACAGTTTTTGAATTGAATCCAATATATAAATGAATTTTGATGATTCTTAACATTAAATTGCACAACCGATATACTTCTTACTTTCTAACAACAACTTATTGCATAGATAATAAACTTTAACTTATTTTAGCATTAATACAAATATAATATGCACCATTTCCCTTTGATAGACAAAAAGCACATTGCAATATAATATTATTCTAAAAATAATATTTTCATACATACTATTATAATATTAAGAATTGCAATACAAAAATCAATCATTTATTCCGATAAGATTCATGTGATTAAACAAAGTAGAAATTATTTAAAAAGTATTGGTGGATGTATACCTTTTAAACTTTTCATATTCAAATAATTTGATAATATATTATATATCCTTTTTTTGTTTTAAAATAATTTTTCTTTGATTTGTCATTCCTTAAACTTTAATGTATCAATACTTTTTCTAGAGCAATTCAATGATAAAATCAAAGTTATTTTTTCATTGTCTAAACTTAGAATGTAATAGATTTGAATGTCGTCATGTATGTATTAATGATTTTTTTGGAATAAAAATAGCAGCAGAGGCCTACTAGCGAAAAAAATCGCTTTGTTGCACAAGTGAAAAAAATTCGCACCGCAACACTAGCAAAAAAAATTCACTCCTATACTAACAAAAAATTTCGCCCCCTTAACTCGAAATTCTCAATGTGTCCATGCTTGAATCATATTAGTAGCGGTAAGATGTTTACAAGGTACACATTTTATACGGCAAGTAGATGGGCAAGAAATATTGACTATGGCAAGAAATATTGACTAATATACGTACAATTAGGATGTTTTCTTTTGAACTGTTTTCAGTCGCAGACCAGACCAAATCAAGCCAAACTTCCGTAGTTATAAAATACACAGAGACTAGACATTTACCAAACCAGACTTACATAGTTATAAAATACACAAAGACCAGATGTTTACCAGACCAGACCAGCAAATTTCAAACCAAATAAACATCCTTAGTCGAAAAATATAGGAAAAATTGATAGTAATAATCCCAACTATTGGCGGTCCGCTCATAATAATCTCAACTATTGATTATTCCAGAATAATCCCAACTTTAGGGACCTTCCGCCAATAATGGTCCATATGAATAAATTCTTGTAGTTTCTAAAGTGGATGAGATGAGATATAACAAGTAATCCCTATAAATAATCTCAACTTTTATTTTTACGCTTAATTTCTATTTAAAATTCACTTTTTATAGAGGTAATAACTGATCATGGACCATTATTGGCGGACAGTCTATATAGTTGAGATTATACAAAAATAATTAATAGTTGGGATTATTTTGAGGGAACCGGCAATAGTTGGAATTATTATTTTCAATTTTTCCAAAAATATATGGAGCCTATTTTAAGGTGTGGGAAAGTTATGTTGTCGCTGACAAGGTACGCACTTTATAAGGCAAAGAGATGGGCAATTGCTTTGAACTTTCCGGTGTGAGAATGCAAGTACAAAGTACAAACACAGCTGCGCAAATTGGCACAAAATACTTTTCTACCCAAATTGTGACGGTTTTGGGACGGACGTCGCCGGCCAACTTTTTTATAATTTATCTGGATTGGCGCGGAATTTGTCTCGAAAAATTAAAATCCACATTTTGGTTGGGATTTTTTCGAGTCAAATCCGTTAGAGTACCGCATTTCAACGTTTTCGAACCAAATTTCGAGCCAAACCTGGGTGGGCGTTTTTGGAACCAAATTTCCGTGCTTATACCGAATTTTTTTTGGTAGTGGCGCCTATTTTCCCAAAAACCATTGCTTAGCCAACATCAACGATCTTTTATATATTGGAGGCTTGGAGCCACTAAGTAGAGTATTAAGATACATATTCTATTTTCATTTACATATCATAATATTTCAGCTAATGCTCAAATATTCTTACCATCCATATACTTTTACGAAATTTGATTAAAACATCATAATTATTTTTTGAGAACAATAATTTGTTATTAATGTGCTTCTGTGCGTTACTTGAGACATTATAATTTTGTTGTTTATAAATGTTTCTTATTTCTATCTAATACGGAGTACTGCGTCTTTTTTTTTAAACAAATAATTGAATTAATAAAGTTTTATGATTTTCGACTAATTTCTCCAATTCGCTTTTTAAATCCTTATAGTGATTTATTTTCAAAAAAAATCATTATAGTGATTCAATCTAAAAATACAATTTCAACAAATTTACTCTTAACATTTATTGTGCGTTTAATTTTATAATCTAAAACGATGGGACAACAAATATTGAACGGTCAGATCGCACCGCCATATTTGTTTGAATGAAGTGCCAGTAGTGTATGAGGCTAGCCGTGCGCGAGATGGGAAAAGGTTTTCGAGCAGAATGGTAAACTTGTCTTCTCATTGACCGCTTCCTTTCACGTAACTTGCGTGCTAATAGCCTAATACTAGCTAACTCTATTAATGTCATTTAATTTTAGGGCAACTTTTTAGCGTGCGAACGGGTTCGGTATTGCAAAAGTATACCACAAAACATTAACAAATCTAGTAGCCCCTTCACCACATACTATTCCCAATTGTGACGACTCTCCCAAATATCGAAGTATGTCGCGGCATAGCAGGCACTTCGAGCCGCGGCATGGCAGGAAAGTGGCCCGCGGCATGGAAGGGTTACGCCGCAGCATAGTGGAGGCAAAGGACAAGCTGGAGTCTAGAGATGCCTAAGAGGAAGGAGCAGATTTCCGGAGGCTTATAGAATATTCTAGACTCATGTAGATAGAAGTATACTTGTATAGAGTATAGTGGAATACTCTAGAATATTGTAGAGTAGTATAGAGATGAATTGTAAATGTTAGATCAAGTAGATCTAAGCCGTCCATTGAGGAGGAGGCCAAGTATAAATACCCCTCAAGGTTGGCTCATTTGTAATCATCCAACCATCGAGTTCTTGAGATCAATAAAGCTTTGCATACGTTTCTCCACAATCGGTGTCCATAGAAGTTAGGCTGACTAGCATAGTTTGAGTGAGTGTGCTAGTGTCGCACGGGTCTTGAGAATAAGTCCGTGACAGTTGGTATCAGAGCCAGGTTCGAGAAGGTTCCGTTGAGCAAGGTTGGTTTCATGTCCAAGGGAGATGGCCGGTTCGGATAGTGAGACACTCACATGGAGCCCGGGAAGCAAACCAAGAGAGGAAGGTCGAAGTCTAGGGAAGCCGTGACCGAAATGGAGACTCGGTTGGCAAAGATGGAGCTTGCCATAGCCGATGGGGAAGAAAGGTTTGAGGAATGTGACCAACGCATCGGGGAGCTTGCCAAGAGTGGCGACGAGCTTCGGGGAGAGGTGCAAGGAGCGGTCAATGACATCCTCGACCGGTGTCTTTCCGAGGTCAAGGGCGTGGAAGGGACTTTAATGACCATGTTTGCTTCATTGCGGGAAGAGTTGGAGAAGGTCACCAAGGAGTTGGTGAAGACCAAGGAAGAGCTGGCCCTGTGCAAGAAGGCGGTGGCGCAAGGAGGAAGCACATCGTCGAGCGAGGTAAGTCCTACTCCTTCTAAGGTTGACGTGACTAGGCCAAAGGCGTACAAGGGTGATAGGAATGCGAAGGAGATAGAGAACTTTGTTTGGAGTATGGAGCAATACTTCAAAGCTCTTGGTATCGGGGATGATGCCAAGAAGATAGACATGACCACCATGTATTTAGAGGATACCGCAATGTTGTGGTGGAGAAGGAAGTATGGAGACCGGGAGAAGGGTCTTTGTACTATTAACACGTGGGAAGAGTTCAAGGGTCAACTCAAGAAGCAGTTTTGCCCTATGAATGCGGAAGAGGAGGCGAGAGCAAAGCTAAGGCGCTTGCAACACAAGGGAAGCGTGCGCGAGTACGTGAAGGAGTTTACCAATGTACTCCTAGACATCCCGGATTATCCTGACAAGGAAGCTTTCTTTGCATTCACGGATGGGTTGCAAAACTGGGCTAAGATCGAGGTCCAAAGACGTGGGGCTAGAGATCTCGACACTGCCATTGCCATTGCCGAGTCCTTGGTGGAGTTCAAGAAACCGGAGAGGGAGAAGTCGCCACCTAAGGAAAGGGCTGAGGAAAAGAGTGGGGGAGACCACCGTGCTCACAAAGAAGGTTTCCAGCGCTTTGAGAAGAACAAGGGACAAAGGGAGACCAAGGAATGGGAGAAGAGACCATTGACGTGCTTCTTTTGTGATGGGCCACACATGGAAAGGGATTGCCCGAAGAAGGCCAAGCTCTCG